AGTTGCATCAGAAAGAATACAGTCGTCCGACAGATGAAATATGTAGATTAGTATCGATTTGACAGGCCCATTTGGAATGTTCCCGTACAGATAAATCAGACTTGCAGCTACTATTGTGAAATGTTTGCTGTATTATATTTTCATCATGCATGGCCACCGCAGGCATTGCCATTAGGCTGAACCAAGAGATCTTCTTTTATTATCCATGACAGGTTCTGAGACCGCGAACCCTTAACTTCTATCACATCTGTTGAATAGCTAGAAGCTTCGAAACGCGTTAAAAACCAGATAAACTCAATTGAACATACGAACATTGATTGCAAGTCACAAGTTAAGTGATGAGATGGAATATAACGTTTTCCACCTGTTGGCACTGATTTAACGCCGATCCGTCTCCAAATTATGCCATAAAAGTAACGAAGAATCCAACAAAGCGCCTGAACGGCATTTCATTGCCACGTTTAACATTTTATCAGATTAAGTTACACGAAGTAATTAAAGACTGGAATAGCGAGCAGAAAGCTAATAAACATGGCGAGAAAATAGTTTTCTTTTAAATTAACTGTTAACTTGCTCAACTTTCTGATTACGTTTTTATTTACGAGCAAAATTGTTTGAGAAAAACACGCATCATTATCCGGATCGAGAAAAAAAGTACAAACCCGACTTAATAACAGTGACCAGTTGCTCTCCATTTGCCACCCAACACGATAAAATATCGACGGATCAGTTGGTATGCTCATAGTGAGTGATTTCAGTTTAATAAATTATGCGACTTTAGGTTTTTACACGATATTCAGGCCTTATAAGAAAGAGTCTCGCGATTTCTTATCTCCCCCCATGGCATGGGCAATAATTTATTAAAACAAGTGATCGCGATCTGATTAATTTAATAAAACCATTAGCGGACCTTTTCAGCCTTACTTTACGAAAGGTTACGCCGTAAGTATAAGTTATTAAGTCGACTCGATCAAAATGGAAAAATGATAATTCGATTCGATGCCAAGAAATTTACTTTGATCTTTAGCAAGACTTGTTTCCATCATTTAGCACGCTTTCATTAACTTTTAAGTACAAGTATTAGTGCTCTCATGTAGGTCGAGACTTTAACGTATTTTTACCGTCCGTATTGTTAAATGCTGCTCTTAAAACGACTGGATTCCGAAAATAGATCAATGGCTACTGAAACACTTATACTTTTGATTTTCAGGGTGTTTCAATTTTTGCATAATTTCAACTTTTTCCAAAAAAATGTATCTCCCAAACGGTTCAAGCCAACGAAGCTGCGCTCTTTTGAAAAAAGTTGTTTAGAAAAAAATTATGTAACCACCCAGAAGTTTTGACAAAAAATGCGGTCTCCAGAGGGCAGTTTTGAAGTTAAAAATGTTTTGGTGCTAATGAAAGTTGCGCCATTTTCAAGAAATTAGTATCTTCCCAACAAAGGCCCCGATCTGGAAGGTACTGGCAAAAGATGAACGCAAATTAAACATTTTTTGCTGCTCAAAAAGGTTTTTCGGATTGACTGAACCGAATTGAGCGAGTTTTGACTCATTGGAAAGGGCTTTTATTTAAAAAAACTTCCCATTTACATCCGATCTACTGCTGTATATCCGGTCTCTAGAGAGCGTATTCTTGGAAAAATTTCGGAAAATTTGCGTAAAATTTCGCGCTTTAACTCGAGCCCAATTAACGACAGTTTTCCATGGGTGCCTCTTCTAAACGGCTCAAGCCAACAGCACGAGGTTAGGCTCATTTGAAAGAAAAATGCGCTTCCTTCAGGAGGTTTGGGCAGTTTTGAGGAGAAAATTGTCTTGGCGCACCTTAAATGCAACTCACTTGAAAACTTTTTTCTATTTTATGCTTTTTTTTAGTTTCAAAATTCCAAAAAAATATAGTATCTTTCAAACGACAACTCCGATCCGGGCGCGTTTGGCCTCATTAGAAAGATAATTTTCTCCCCGTCATCGCCCCATTCAAACCTAGCGGACGACGTCTGCAGCCTTGAGCCTTTGAGTTTTTTTCTGAAGAAAAAACACCGGATATCAAAATTCGATTAGACACAGAATTTTGAGAGAATTTAATGATCTTTTCTTGTCTTTTTGAATTTTGAAAAACCTCAATTTTTTATGAGTTATGAAGATTTTGGACGACGAAGTCGACAGAACAACTGTTGGCAGGAAAACAGGTAGTTTTCTATGCGATTTTACGGAAAAACGGTGGCAAAAATCATATTTGACTAAGAGAAAAGCTAATTTAATGCACTGCAAGGCGGGTATCAAATTTGGGCAAAAAAAAAGAAAAATGCCTGAAAATAACGGAGGAAGAATTGTGCGAATATTTCTTTAAATTTCCAGTATCGACAACAGGTTGAAAAATAAATGACCCAGCTAAGTTTGATAAAATTAACTAAGTTTACGCACTTAAATTGCCGATATTTCGGTTGTCACAAACCTTCAGATTGCCTGAACCGAATAAAGCGAGTTTGGGCTTTTTGAAAAATGATTTATTTTCGGAAAATTCCCCATTCGTAACCAAGCTGTTTGGGATTCGTTTGTAGTCACTACGCGATGCTTTCTTGGAAAATTTTGCGTGAATCTGCGTTCAGATTAAGTTTATTTCAGTACAGATGGATATTTTGAACGATTTTGAGTCAATTTTTGAAAACTTTCAATCCATCAGGACGAGTTTGGCTCACTTGACTGGGAAACGTGTTTAGAAAAAGATTTTTAACGACCCAAAGGATCAAGGATCAATCACCCACTTCAAATGCAACCTTAAAGCGTTTTTGGAGGTTTCAAACTTAGATGGTTTCTATTCTGGGAAACTATTATTCAAGGGGGAGATTTTGATATTCCTTAATGGCGTCTTTTTTAAATATAATTGGCTTCTTTTCAAACAAATTTACATTGATAACTGTTGTTTATTTACCCAATCAACACGTTTTGCTTTAACGTATGCGCAAACTGAAATACTATCGGTCATAAATACGCTAAGCAAACGCAAATTGCCAGCATTATCAAGCCAAAGTAGGGTAATAAATTTGGAAAAGTGCCAGCAATTACAGACAATTAGTCTAATTCAGATTAAGTCCTTCGCAAATCGGACTTTCATCGAGCAAACTAAACTGATATTGAATTAATTACAACAAAGTATTTTCCGAACCGATAAATTCTCTGGGCACAAAATCCCCTCCCGATATTTTATTATAATGCTCTCTTTCTGCTGTTTAAGCCACCTCGTTTCTGCGACGAAAAGATTCGAAAATTATCTCGTTAATTAGAAAATTACCATTAAAAGAACTTTCCGGTTCTCGGGCGTCAACCTGAAGATATATTTTATTTTAATGGATTGTAGAGATTACCGGAGTCTGGAAAATAAATTGCGTATCTTTCGCGACGTTAAAGGGACGCTAAATCTACAGTTGGGAAAAAAGGAAATTTACTGCTTTTAAAATGAAAGCCACTGTTGAGAAACGTGCGAAATCAAGTTAAAAAGCTCAGTTGTATAAAGGCTGCCCTGGAAATAATAGCGCATTTAAAGAAAGCGATGAGAAAAAAACAAACGCTTAGACTTTGATTTTACCAAGCAGATAAACACATTAACTAGCCGATATAAGGATGGAAACTCTACGGACGAATGAGTGGGAAAAGGCAGTTGTCCGGATTAGTGTGTTGGAAAGAGAATGCGAAGCTTGTAATACAATGCATTCCTTGTCCAATACACGCATTCACGCGTCTGCCTTGTTCCACTCGCTTCAAGCTTCATGGAAACAATAATTTGCCTCTTTGGAAGCAGAATGGGGACAAAAGGAAAAATATTTGGAAGATTATTACTGCATGGCAAGCCATGAGCAAACTAAACAAGTTTTATGATCTACGCAGCATGTTCAACCGCTGAAAAAAGGAGCAGTGTGTCTAACTGATGTATTACCTATAATTTAATATGTTCTACAAAATCGATTTCCTTTTGGAACCAATCTATCATGTGTTTTGAACTCGAGGTACCACCTTACATATGGTTTGATTAATAAGATTAAATGTCCGTTTCGATCAAGATAGAGATCGCATTTTAATCAGATGCGATCGCATTTAAATTGCTTGCTGCCTTTTATTGACTATTTAATTACACTATCGAGTAATTTAAGGAGAAAATCAATTGAAGTTTGTAGTTTTACCAGAGGTTCAGTGAAGTGAGCGATTGCGCAAGTGAATTTGGTTATTTGATATTCATGGAAATGTTTAGAGCTGAAGACGATGTGAAAATGTAAACCAGTCATTTTTTTGGTGATAATTTGGATTAAGATCGACTTTAAATGTTCGTGAACTCTTTGGCTAGTCGAAACATTGGGAATCATTGTTGCTCGTAGTTTGTTGAAAGTATGAACTCACAAGACCCCTAACAATTAACCTCATTAACTAATCTGCTTTCTACTAAAACGGAATTTCAAAACAATCACTTTTGCTTAACGTTTGTAACATCTTAACCCTGACACGGTCGCTCTTTTTCCGCATCCAAGTGCACATTGAAAACACATCGAAACTGACAAACTGCAATTAAATAATGTCGCAACACTAATTAAAATTATTATTTATGTCTTTGTTAATTAATTAGCGATGCCGTCGAGGTTCGGCCCACTTGGGCTAGAGAACAGCCATATTATTATCAAATGCAGTCGTACGATAAATCAGGGGATTTGTTTGTGATTTATGCCAGTTTTGCACGTTTTCGTTGTTGGCTCTATTCAGCCCAGCTGGGATCTTATAGTGCGACTTAGAATTCAAGCAATCTTGAAAGTAATTGTTGATTTATTTGCTTTTATCTTGCAAATTGGAGAGGCCGGGCATCCATAACGTCCATAACGGGACGCGCTAGTGCGGCTTGGAGCGATAAATGAAAAGTTTTCATAGCGAGATTTTTCGTAGATTTACCCGAGCGACTTTTCTTGGAATATTTGAAAAAAAGCGTAGTTTTGGCAGCAAAAAATGCAAAGTTTCACTTACGTTTGCATGCCTTGCGATGAGTAATGGCCTTAGTGGGGTCTCGATAATAACCTTCGCGGCAATAGTGGCAATGTCTTCCTGCGGTGAAATGCCGGCACTTGAGACACACACCTCCCGAAGTTCTTCCGGACAATTTGTACAGTTCCATGTTGAATCTGCATCTACGAGCATGCTGGTTGCATTCGCAAGCTGAAACAAAAAAATTAATGAGCATTCCAGAAGAAACAGTCGGCTGCGCAATTTATTGAACATCAAGCTGACCTGCACAAGCTCATGTCTTGTAAAGAAGTATTTGATCGCAGTTATCATCAGCAGATTTTAACGTCTTAAGAAATAAGGGCAACATTGGACTGGATGGGCATTTTTTAATCTTCAAGAAATCGGAAGCAAAAATTTCCAACTCTTAAAGACCCTCGAAGTTCTACAGTTTACATCTCGTTCTAATTGCCCTAATCAAACCCGCAAAAAATTCCCTAGCTCCCACTTAAAGTGTGGCAATTTGTACAGCCGTTTCCTTCGCCTACAGTTAATCAAGCATTAGCGTTGATTGCTTATTGGAATGCCAAAGCTTTGGTCATCAATTTCCTGCCTGCGTTTCCATTTTGGCTCCTGCAGACAGTCGAGAGCACTATTAAATGCAAAGTTTACCGGAATTGATTAACCGCCTAACTGAATTTGCAACTTCCATTTGATACAAGTGGCCGACAGGTTTCTGATAGTTTCTGTAGACGACAATTAGAAATTACTTATGCAAAGTGTTCGTAATTGGGGTGTACGCTTAATGGACGAGCCGAAACTGTAGAAAAAGTTCCTGTCTGTATGGAAACTCAATTGCAAATGAAGAAGCTGCGTTGTCTGGCTGTTAGACACAGCTTAATACTGAAAGTTGCCCTCACCTGGAAGGACGCAATTTGAAATCGGGATTCCCAAGGAAAAAACAAACAACTAATGAATGGTGACGTTCAGGTATCCGCTAATCCCTATCGTTTTACGACCTGTCTGCTTACTAAACCCTACAGCGCGAGCTTTAGAAGTACAAAAAGCTAATTTGGACGCTGAAACTCGAGATGAGATCATTTCTTGGCTCGTGCCCCTTCTTAACGCAGACGGAATTAGCTTGTTTAGACGTTACCCTTAAAATGTACCATTCCTTTGCCTGTTTGTTTGCAAGCTGTTGAAGCAGCTTCAAGGCAGGCAAAGTGCAAACTTTTCCACCTGTGTGAAGAGCAGTTGCAAGCCGAAGCGGTAAATGATGAAAGAAAACAGAAGAGAAACGAAGACAAACTTAAAAATCAAGCCGTCAGCCTCTTAATTGGCTGCATGAGAATTTGATCGACAATTAACTCCTTGCACCAAAGCGCTAATTAGGACAGTTTACTGTTAATATGAGTAACCCTATCGATAAAAGCAGAAGAATCACTTCTTCGCTCCATCACCGACAATACTGAATAATCAACTATACAATAATTGCGAATACTTAATGTCCAATATTGAAGTGTAGGCATTTTTTCGGCTGCGTTGAAGCGCTTCTCCTTATTCATTAATCAGCCGACATACCATAGCAAAGGTTTGCCTCTATATGGGGAATTCGAGGCTCTCTAATTATTTTAATCCTGCATAAAGCCACGTCATTAGCACAAATCCCCGGAGTGCATGCAGTCATTTATTTTGTACCATCATTAATCTCTCCTCAGTCGTCAACATTATGATGGTCAAGGGTGTGCGTTTGCCGTTTTACAAAGGGCTGAAAGCGTGTTGAACTTTACCACTACTTTGTCTTCGTTTTGCTATGTGGTTTCACCTGTACTAGATGATTTTTAGGCGCTTTTCCTTAGAAAAAACACTGGTTGGTTAAAACATGTTTATCAGAGGAATTGTTGCTTGAAGCGACATCAGAAGTGCTTCTTCAACAACAAGCACCAGAAAAATTAAATTTATAAACGAAAGTTTGACATTTAATTCCAAAGCAACCGGGTGCTCAACTGTCCGAAGCGATTCTTCAGGAAAACAGCTGCAAAAATAGACACCCGCAGAAAAAATGTCCAAAAGCCACAGAAAGCCAATTGCCAACTAAAACGAGCAAAAAGTTTGCAATATTTCTCAAAGTAAAGGAAAAGCAATTAACTTTTCGTGAAATATTACTCAAAACTACATAAAACGTTATGTTTTAATCKACTTAAAGATGGCACGATCGAAACACTCATTTTGGAAATAGAAGTGACAACATTTAAAGATTTTATAATGAGGAAACCAGTACCCAAGTGTCTTGAAACTTTCTTTACTGGGGATCAGAAGATAACGGCGCAAAAACTACATTCTTTAAAAAAATCTTTGAAGGAACTAAAGACTCAAGTGAAGCGAAAATCGCAACGCAAATACACGGAAGCCTAATTTGTTGACTGATGAAGCTCACATCTTGATGCCTAAAGCGATYCTTCAGAAGAACATGGTGCAAAAATGAAAACCAGCACAAAAAGTACCCAAATTTCAGGAATTGTTTCTGAATCATCTAGGTTTGAGGTAAAATACGAGTCACACCACAAATGCTCCGAAGCTCCTTRATCGATTGCATTCTGATCGCTAAGGTCTTCAGGCACGTGCTTCAGAAGAACATGGTGCGAAAACAAAAGCCATCACCAACAGCCCAAAGTTTTAAAATTCCTTCGGAAGAAACCAGAGGCTCGACTGAAACCAAAATCACTGAAGCCCAATTTATAAACTGTTGCTGCGCCGAGCAAACCACCTCTGAAGATGCGTGCCTCTCGTGCTCGCGAAACATTAGGCCGACATTTTCTTCCAGGTCTAGTTTCAAGCAATGACCGCCTGAAAGTCTAATTGTAACTGAAATTGTTGTAAAAAAAAGCAGCGTAACGGAGAAAAAAACCCACTCAAAAGTGTGAAAAGTTTAACATTTGATCACGAAGGCACCAGTTGCTCGAAATAAGTGGTTCCCTCCACAAATGCTTTGGAGATTTATTTATCCATTGCCGATGCACGCATTCCGGGATCAAAAGTACTTTTTTCAAAAACAGATATCAGAAGATCATGGCGCAAAAGTAAAAATCTATAGAAAATTTGATTCTTAAGGAACCAGATACTCAACTGAAGCGACAATTAGGTCAGATACAGCTGAAGTCATGTGAATTATTGACTGATTAAACTCACATTCGGAAATGCGACTCAGAATTACATGGTCAAAAAAATAAAAAGCCGCACAAAAAAGTCCACAGAAAGCCAATTTCCAACTAAAGCGAGCAAATATTTCACAATATTACTAAGGAAAGGCGTTGGAAACGAAGTTCTTATTAACGACCAGAAAAGTGTGCTGAAGCAATTAACTTTTCTTAAAATATTGCAGAAAATTACATCAAAAATGAAACTCCCAAGGCTGACGGAGTCAGTTTTAATCTACTTAAAGATCGCTGCTAATCACTCATTTTGGAAATTGGTTCTGAAGGAAAGTGTGTTAGGGAAATTAATTTTCTAGTAGTGCAATTTTATCATAAAATCCAAGTTTTTTGAGGACAATCCTTCATTTGCCAGAGCAACTTCAACGCTTCCTCCCAAATAAACCTGTGTGAACAAAAGGGAAATGAGGAAAATTGCGATTAGAGAAGTACGCCTATGCGTGCCCAATATTAGGAGCAAGGGGAGATACACGCATTTATACACCCTCTGGTTTAATCTAGTAAGGGTTAATTTATTTTGGATTCCGATTACGCCGGGGCTACGTTTCTTCTATTATTCATCCTCAAGCTGCGGAACCGTCGTTTTGTTATTTGTCGATTCAATTCGCTTAATTTTCCACTGCACTAGTCGCAACAAATTACTGTTTGTTTGCCGTTTTATTTTACTTTTAAGCCTCTCTATCGGGAGGGATGAACATAGACGCTATTTGCCATAGGGTGACGACTTCAACTGGTATAACAGTTGAACTAAGTGAGGGATTTCAGCCCTTTGTTATCTGAAATTTGACATGGATTCAGTCGACAACAACGCAGATTCTCGTATTTATATTGGATTTTCCATCTTTTGACTGGGGACTTCCACATGCGGAATTGGCTCAGTTTAACCGGAGAGATCCGTCTTTCGTCCCCCAGGACAAGAATCCGGGATCTCCATTAGAGACAATAACATTCTGTTTGCCAAGCATCAGGCCGAGTATATTAAAATCTATCGATTTCTTTTGGGCAAACAATCACGTAATCGGAAATGCGGCTGCTTTTATATGACATGAATATGTTCGAGACAAAATACGGGATGGTTTTGCACATGCATCGGCAAACCATCAATATTGACTTGACTTCAGCGGA